TTTAAGGAAGATGGAAGAGATTCAGTTTATAACATATAATGTAAATGGGATGAACTGCCCTGGGAAAAGATATAGATTATTTAAAGAACTACACCATAGGGCAGCCTCAGTGATATTTCTACAGGAGACACATCTTGAGATAAAGTCAAATGTTAGGCTGAGGTCTAGAAATCACCCAACATAGTACTACGCAGACTCCCCGGTTAAAAGAGCAAAAGGGGTAGCAATAGGTTTGGCAAAGAATATTAGGTTTGAGTTGGAAGATAGGAAAACAGACCCAGATGGGAGATTCTTGTTTTTAAAGGGCAAGTTACAAGAGATCGAGTGTACACTGGCCAACATCTACTGTCCTAATAAAAAACCGGAGGCGTATCTGAAAAAAGTGTTGAGGAAGTTGATGGACTTTAAAAAAGGACGTTTGATCCTGGCAGGGGACTTTAACTTTTGTATGGATCCACAAAGGGACGCCACCTCCCATATAAAAAGAGAGGGAAATAGGGCCCTGAAATTATTGAAAAAAGAATTACACATAAGTCAATTGGTAGATGCCTGGAGAATTACACATATGCAAGATAGAGATTATACTTTCTTTTCAAACATGCATAAGAGATATTCAAGACTAGACCATATATTAATAGAACATCAATCAATTGACCATCTGATCCAAGTAGAAATAGAGACAATATCTTTTATCAGATCACGCCCCAGTTATTATGAAAATGGAATGGGGGAGGAGGAAAATCGGAGGGCTGGGATGGAAATTGAATGAGACACTTTTAGTGGAAAAGGAAATAGCTCAGAAAATAGGGCAGGAGATCGAACGCTTTTTTAAGGAGAACGAGACAGGTGAGGTATCAACAGCCACAGTGTGGGAATCTCACAAAGCATACATAAGAGGAATATTAATGGCAATTGGGGCAAGAAAGAAAAAAAAGAAAGAAGGGAGAAAATGAGGGACCTCTTAGAAGAAATAAGTAAAATAGAACAAATACATAAGAACAGAATAACAAAAGAAATAGAGCTGAAGTTAAAAAAAAAGCAAGAAGAATTGAAAGAAGTGATAGAAGAGGAGAGGAGAAAAGTATATAACAGAGTTTTGAGTGAGAGATATAGATGGGGAGAAAGACCTGGAAAATATCTGATGAGAGCCCTGAGGAAAAAGAAAAATAGAAATTATATAGAAAAAATAAAAGATGCTAAAGGAAACATGTTGCATTCAAATAAAGATATCATCAAAGCCTTCACAGAATATTACAGGAAACTGTATAATATAAGTCCCCTGGAAGGATTAGAAAACATACAAAGTGAGAAGAATCAAAAAAGAAAGAAATATCTGGAAATGGCTGGGTTACTAAAACTAAGTGAGGACCAACTGAACTCCCTAGATGCAGATATCTCACAGGACGAAATAAAATTAGCACTGAAGGGGTCAGTGTCGGGGAAAAGCCCAGGTCCAGACGGATATACAGTCAGATACTATAAAAAAATTTAGTGAAATTTTAATACCAAAACTTAGAAATTACATGAACGCCCTAGGTGGAGAGATGGAAATAAGAAGAGAATCATTACAAGCCCAAGTAGTGCTCATTCAAAAAGAGGGAAAAGATCCCTCACAGTGTTCGAGCTATAGACCTATTTCACTATTGAACACCGACATTAAGTTATATGCAAAGGTCCTAGCAAATAGATTGAAAGAGCTAATGCCAGAATGGATACAAGAGGATCAGGTGGGTTTTGTCCCAGGGAGGGAGGGTAAAGACAATGGGTTAAGATCACTGATGTTAATCCAAAAGAGTAAAAAGGGAAAAGAACCGGTGGTGTTACTCTCTATAGATGCTGAAAAAGCGTTTGACAGAGTGAATTGGAGATTCATGACAGATACTCTGGAAGCCTTAGGTATTGGGCCTAGGATGAGAGAGTGGATAGGGAAGTTGTACAGATACCCTTCTGTGGTCATTGCGGTAAATGGGGAGAGGTCAGAACCCATTGAGATGTCAAATGGAACAAGACAGGGATGCCCATTGTCCCCATTGTTGTATGTTATATCATTAGAACCATTGTTGTCAACAATAAGGCTGAATAGAGATGTAAAGGGAATCCTGATAGGAGATACAGAACATAAAGTTGCTGCCTTTGCAGACGACTTGCTGTTCTATGTAGGAAATCCCAGGATAACACTTCCAAACTTAATGAAGTCATTAAAGGAATATGGAGAACTATCAAACTTAAAGATAAATCCAACAAAAACGGAGATTCTAAATATAAACATCTTAAAAAGTGAAAAAGAAAAAATACAAAAGGAATTCCCATTTAAATGGAAAGACAGAGATATAAAATATCTAGGAGTAAAGCTTACAGCCTCACACAAACATCTATATAAAATTAAATTATATTTCATTGATAAATGAGATTAGAGACGAGTTAAAAAGATTGGAGGGAGGAACCCCGACATGGATGGGCCGTATTAATCTGGTAAAAATGATAATAGTACCAAAAATCATATATAGATATCAAATGATCCCAATTAAACTCCCAGAGCTTTTCTTTAAAATAATTAAGAAACTGATAACAAAATACATATGGAGGAATAAAAAACCAAGACTGTCATACGAACTGCTGAGTAGGAGGAAAGAAAGAGGGGGTTTAGGGCTCCCAGACTTTAAAAGATATTACAAAGCGGTAATATTGGCAAGAACCATAGATTGGATATATAATCATAAAAAAAGTTGGGTGAGAATAGAGAATGAACTCAGTGGAATAGACCTGGGAAGAATGATATGGGTGCCAACACAGTATAGGGGTTTAAACGATAATGTAAATACATACACTTTAAATGTACTAAAGGTTTGGGATAATTTACACAAAAGTATGAAATGGACTTTTAATTCAACACTGATTCCACTAAAAAACACGAAGTTTTTCCCCCCAGGCAGAGAAGAAATAGGAGGGAGGTGGTTTAAAAAAGATAGGGTGCAATTGAGAGATATTCTGGTGGGAGATGAAATAGGATCATTTGGTGATTTGAAGAAAAAAGAGGGCGAGATCTTCACTAAACTAGATGAATTGCGGTATTTTCAATTGAGGTGTTTTTTGTTGGAAGTTTGCCAAAACCTTTAAGGACAAAAGAAAATTGGAATCTGTTCGAAAAGGTATTGGGAACACAAGGTGATGGGAAGCACGGGATTACTAAAGTTTACAAAATACTCACTGAATTAGACACAAACACAAAGCCAACATATATAACAAAATGGGAAATGGATATGGGAGTTGTGATAGATGAGGAAAAGCAGAGGAGAATGTATAGATTAATTCACGAGAACGTCTCTATGAGAGAAGTGGAGATGAACTATAAGTGTTTGACAAGATGGCACATCACACCAAATGTAGAAAATAAGATATGTGGGCAGAGTTCACCACTGTGTTGGAGGGGATGTGGAGAGGTAGGCACTGTATACCATATATGGTGGGGATGCCCTAAAATCCAGATATTCTGGAAAACAGTAATCCACTTGATAGGAAAATTGACAGAAATAGATATAGAGCTAGATCCAGAAGTATGTATTTTGCATAACATGGATATAACAGTAAATAAATATAAAAAATCAGGGATATGGTACTATATAAATGCTGCAAAAGCTCTGATACCCAAGTTCTGGCGGCAAACAGAGATACCGAAGGAAGAGGACTGGATTGAAAGAGTTGAGCAGATCAAAAAGATGGAAAGGTTGTGTCATATCCAAGAAGATAGGATGGAGGCCTATTATGGGAAATGGGAGAACTGGGAAAAAGCCAGATTATATAGGAAGTATAGGAAAGAATAAAAGATAACAACAGAAAAACTTCACTTGCTGATGTAAGAAGATGCAGAGAAAAGGTAGGATAGGCAGAGGGATTCGGGGTGGGGGGTGGTGTCGGGAGGGAAATGTTGTATAGAGTAATATAAAGTAGAAATGTTGGATATTATAATATATTATAGAATATATTTCTTATATATATATATATATATCTACATTGTGTTGATGAAATGTATTTAAAATGGAAAAATGAATAAATATTTAAATTATAAAAAAAAAAAAATACAAGAGGGATTTGAGGGCTCTGCTCCTTGGAGCTTACAATCTAGGCGATAAAGCCCTGATGTCTCCATATACCTGATGACTGCTTCTATGCTATTACATAGGTGGCTTGCAGGTCCCCTAATAGTCGTAATGAAATGAAGTAAAAAAAATGTAATCCGTAAAACCACTTGAAATAATCATTAAAATGTGACAACAATTTAAAAGACCTAATGTGTGACACATTGCAGTTGATTTACTAATGGCAAGTAGACTCTGCACTTCCAGAGTGCACAGTCTATTTGCCTTTAGGAAATCAACCCCATTGGGTATCCCACACACCATAGGTAGAAGAATAATCTTAAAACCGTCATTTAGGTTTAACTCTAAAGCCATGGAAAGTAGAGGTTTTTAATAAGATATATACTTACAATATTGGATACCATGGTTTTTCATAGTTTCAAAGCACACATGATTTTCAGATGACATGCATTTGGTACAGATTAATGCAAAACGTTTTCATCTTTTATATTTGAAGGAAAATGTAGAGATTGGTATTTTGATTGTCAATTCACTCTACCTTCATTTCTTCTTTTATCCCACCTGATGAAACATACAATTTTGGGAGGAACACTGCCTATGGTAGAGGAAACCTTTGGAAACCACTTTCAAAAAATTTTTTTAAGGATATAATGCCATTGTAAATTGATTTTTACCATTTCTATGTAGCATTTACTTTAAGAATAGAAATTATTATATGTTAGTATAAATGGATACCTCACCTTGGTAAATGCACAGTGATTTCTCAGTATTTAAATTATACAATACTTTACTAACTTTCACATCCTCCATTCAACATACTGTTTTCTCTTTCCAACTTCATTGCCATTGAGCTGGAATCGAAATTATTTTGCTAACATTTAGTTTTGTTTTCTGTTAATTTAGTGTTCGGTGGAAAATTCTGCTACAGTTTCAGTGCCGCAACAGGCTTCTTCTAACTGGCACTCCAATTCAAAACACAATGGCTGAGGTATGTTTGAAGGACAATAGAGGCTGGATGAGTCAGCCAACGAATCTGTTGTTAACAGTAGTTTTCTAATTGCACATTGTGTAGATTTGTTTCCATATGACACATTTACTGTGGCCCAGAGGATATATCAAATTAAAGCAGTATTAATCCCAAAACCTAAAATGTATTATATTGCAGTTTGCCAACCATTAGATGTGGTTGCTGCGTCAGTTTTCTGTGGCTTCTTTTCTGTTTTCACCTGGTGATCAGGCCAGTAACACCACACTTTGGAGGAATGAACATAGGACACAGTAGACCGCAGCATTGTCAGTCCTGGGGGTGGGAGTGTTAAATGTATTAGCAGATTTGAATACAAAAACAAATTTAAGCCAAACTCTACGTAACACTTTATAATCTGTTACAGCAAACAGTTGTTTTTTCCTTTAGGGAAAAAGGTTTTACATTATTAAATAAAAGAGAATAATTTTAATCACCCCTGTCAGTGGTAAATGGATTATCTTATCCCTGTGAACTAATCTTCCTGCTGGAGAGCTTGAACTTATGAAAAACATCAGAGTTGCTGGCTGAATCACCAGATGAAAATAGGGGAAAGAAATCCTAAAAAAGGAAACTAATATAGCCATTGCATCTAAGAATTGGTAAGCTGCAATATAATAAATGTTCACATTAGCATTAAATGGGAGCTAGGGGGGTGGCAGAAGTGTTTCAAGCGCACCTTTAAAACACTGAGTAAGAGCAGGAAAACAGAAGTTTCACTGGAATTTTCCCTGCCCTAGTCTTCTGAAGGCAAACACAGCACTGCCATCCCCCTAAACAGGTCTTCTGTTTATATATTAACAATTTCCTGCATGGTACTTTGCCCTGTTAAAGATAAAGTCCACCTTTTGCAAAAAAAAAAACAAAAAAACGCGAAGGTATTGCCAGCGTACTCTTTACAAGTCCCATCTGCCTCAGGTTCAGATAGGACTTGTAATGTTCGTGTGTTGATAGTGTTTTATACCATGTTTCATGTTACAACCATAAATATACAGTAGGTGTAACAGTAAACGTGGTGTAAAACATGAGCTTAGCCTTTCAAGTAGAACTAGAGGTACAAAATTTTATTTTCATTTTGGATAGAGGTAAGGAAGGTTCTAACCTGTCAGATTCTTTTTTGCTATCTGTATCCCATTGCGGATATTTACCTTTTCTTCCTACTCCATTGCCAAAATAAGAAGTCCCAACTAGAAGATTTCCCCTTTATCTCTGTCCTAGTTACAACCCGAAATTTGGGATTATCTTTTACTTTCATGTTTGGTAACAACAATAAACAGTACAAATAGAGAGGACAAATTTCCATAATAGGAGCACACATAGCAATCCAAAATTTACAAAAATGTGTTCTACTCACTCGCCACTCTGTCCAAAACTAAAAAGTGGTTTGGATTAAAGTTATATTTTAACCTACCTTATGTTAGAGCTCACTCATACTTTTAGAGTTTGCTATCCCTGACAAATACTGGTTTCAGTTAATGATCAGGAACAAATCAGCATGGTTTCTAATCATGTGATCACCATAACCGCTTTGAAATAACCTGGTGTGGAGTGTTGACCAGGAAACACATGCACTCTTTTCCCAGCCACATTCCAGAGCCTTAGCAAGGCTTACTTGCTGGTTTAACTTTCCATCTCCCTCTACAATCTTTACCAAAATAAGAGTGCCACAGTTTGTGCTAAATATGTAGTCCATCCAAAACTATGACCTGCCCTTTCAGAGACCACTTGCCAATATATACACATGCATATACTGTATACTGTATGTATATGTATATAGAAGTATACACAAATATTCTCTTACAACTGTTTTCCACTGATATGTCTTCCTTGACTGGTTACTTTATTTGGATCAATGTTCACTGCAAATGTTAATGAAACTATTCCATCTTATATTGGATTTCTAAGAAGGTAGCTGAAGCAATGCAGTTTAATTAATTTATTAAATTGTTGATGTGTTTTACTGTTATAAATTCTAAATTGTATAAAACCATTACAATGAACACTCACTAGGTGGCAGTGCTATATTACAAATAGATTTCTTCCTGTCCGGATTTCCATGCAAAAAGCATTAAGGCTCATTTACTAAAGGCTTACTCACACCTGCAGTTTTACCACAACATGCTCAAAACACTTTAAATGTGATGGTGTGATGAATTTCTATTCATTTTGAATGGCCCCCCATTGCATTTTGCTGATGGATGTGTGTTTCAGTGCAACAGGTGGCAACACATTTTTTTTTAACAGCCCAATGCACATTAGTGTGACAATACACAATCATTGGTAGGATGCATAGGAGTGCCATTCAGAATGAATGGCACTACATTGCACCAATGCATTTAACATGCAACACCAAAGTGTGGATAGGCACTAAAGAGAATCTTTCTCCCCAACATTATGTGAACATTCGCTTCAATTATGAAATCTTGTGAAGAACAACTTTTGTGTTCATTTTAAATACCCAGTTATGTGCAGAAGCCTTCACTAGATATTTTTAAAGTGAATATTTATACAGTTTTTCAAGTGAAGATTTTCAACCCCTTTAGTTAATAAGCTTCATTGTGTTTACAGCCACATCTTATTGTTGTTGGCCTAATCTGAAAGCTGCGTAAAATAACCCTCTCGGTTTGCGGTTGGTAATGCAGTAAAATTGTGTTAGGTATTGCTTTTATGTAAAAGGCATAGGTTAGGTATATGCTTCACCCAGCATCCATAGAAGCTTACATTCTAGTATGAACTTTGGACATAGACATTGTTTAACTTAGCTGAAATAAGGACAAAATGATGTTGCGCTACTCACAGTCCATAGGTCACATATAAAACTTATATATACAAAAAAGTGGAGACAATATATACAGTGACACAATGTGCAAAAAAGAAAAAATGTGATAAGATCCTCATGGGGTCTTAAAAAATATCTGAACGTGATTTGATCGTAATCGGATCCAAAGGTGAATAAAGGAGTGAAAAATGCACAACCACACAAATGACAATACACAATATGTGAAACCATATATACAATAAGAAAGTATTAAAGGTGAATAAATCCTAAGCATGATAAAATGGTGATAGTGAATAATAGTCCAACTATGGTCTTGAAAGTGGTAAGTCCACAGAAATTTGTTCTCAAATACAACATAAACACATGAACATGCAAATGAAAAAAACCAAATGTGCATATAAAAATGCAGGAAAAAATTATAATATCCAAGTATTAGGTGATGTATCCAGATATACAGATATCAAATGCAAACCAAACGAAGAAAAAAAAAACATATTTAAATATGCAATAGTGAAAAAAGTATGTGTAGTATATAGAGCTTCAAGTATGCAGCCAATTGCACAACATAAAGCAACATACAAAGATATGTGAACCAGAGTCCAAAATGGTGCTTTCCGCAACAACTTAATCAAAATTAAAATGAACACTCGTGAACGTGTATGGTGACTGTGGGTAAGCCCGAAAAGAGTATCCGCAAGTGGCAGGATTAGCCTCTCACCTCATTGCTTCGACCCAAAAGGGTCCTTAGATTGTACGCCCCTTGAGGGTTAGGGACTGATGTGAATGTACAATATATATGTAAAGAGCTGCGTAAATTGATGGCGCTATATAAGTACCTGAAATATATAAATAATTAAGGGTCAAAACACTTTTGGGATCACAACATCGTATCCTCCATGCATATGATTCCTCCGTCGCTCAGACCTTTCCCTGCAATGATCTCTCTCTCTCTGGGGTATGCGTTTAGGTGGCGATATTCTCTCCAGGTATACAGTTTGGGGTGTGAGCCAATATCTCAGTAAAAGACATAAGTACAGCTTCCCATAGTGTATTACCTTTATTATTTCAGAAAGTAAGCAAAGTATTTCCAAGTTTGCACTCATATTAGCATTCCTGATTCATCAAGCCTTCAAACCTCATGCTCTAGGTGTATTTGCATGGGTGTATACGTTCGGTGTAGCAAGATGGCTTCCACGCCAGAAGCGTGTCACCGCGTGCTGGCCTACACGGTGGGTCACATTAACCACATGACTTCCTCAGGGCTCTCACCTTTGGATCCGATTTAGGATCAAATCACGTTCAGATATTTGTTAAGACCCCATGAGGATCTTATCACATTTTTCCTTTTTTGCACATTGTGTCACTGTATATATTGTCTCCACTTTTTTGTATATATAAGTTTTATATGTGACCTATGGATTGTGAGTAGCGCAACATCATTTTGTCCTTATTGCATTTATTTGATCATTGGTATATGATTAGATGTTAGGCTTCTCTGTGAGTTTTACATTATATCATTAGTCATAGCGCAGGAGGTTTACTCCATTATTCCTTCGCTTAGCTGAAGTTGCTGTGGCTATCTCAGTGTGGGAACCCTGTTGCCTATTTGAGGGTTTACTGCCCATTGTTTTACCTGTGTTGTCAATGGGTGATGACAGACTGCTTTTAATTAGAGACGTCTGTTTTTGGTATATTAGTATTGGTTTGGATGAATCGGTGTTCACCATCCTTCTCTGAAATTTACCCCTGATGAAAGATTTTACAATGTTCTAAAAAGCAACAGGTATCCCACTGAAGAAATTCTACCTCTCCAGGTCTTCTATTGGGAGACAGAGGATACCACATGACTCCAAACCGTCATTTTGTGATATAAAGTACAGCCGTTATGCATTGTTTTAACTTATTTTTTTGGTGATGTATTTGATTTTAATAATTTTTAATAAAGTATTTTGCAATTTTATCCCAGCCAATGGATACAATTGCCTTTACAGTCCAATTTTCTCTATTTTGGGGGTTCACTTTGGTGTCTATAGAAACGGATATTGTAAAAAAAATTGAATGACTTCAGTGGATGGATTTCTAATTAAAGGACATAAGGATTTTGTTTTTTACATTTTAATTTTCTTCAGAGGATCTGAAGTCCACCCTCATTCAGCTGTGCAGCAACAGAAAACTTTTAAGCCTAAAATCTCTTTAGGTCCTAAACTAAGCACTGTGACTGAGAGTAGGGAGCACCAGCACTATTAGCAACCAGGACTTTCAGGAGCCCAGAGTCCAGATGCTGTTTTAAAATGACACTCGGATAAATAGCCACTCTTTACTAGAGGCACCTTGGATTCGAATAGATAAAGCATTTAAAGAGCATTTCATAGAAAAATGTAAATTCTGTATTTAGTAGTTGTTGCAGGAGTCCTGACTCTTATTGCTCATGTAAACTGTTTCCATTGTTGCTTATATGACTTGGTAGACAAGGGAAATGTAGTATTTTTGTGAACCCATAGATTTTGTGGGTTCCCAGCTAACTTGAATTTGTATCCTTTTTCTAATTTCCCATTTTAAAGCAGAAATCCAGCAAAAAAATTATTTTCTGCCCCACAAATTTGCCCCACCTTAATCTCATCGCTATAAGCATACGCTATATTGAGGTTATCTTTGTGCTCTCCATTTCTGTACAGTATTCAGAGAATTAGGCTGACTCACTCCTCTGATATCTTCCTATCATTCTGGTTACTGCTAAGCTAATATAATGGCAGGCTATTTATACTAGATATGTTTAAACATTTTGCATTTTTTTTGTTGTTGTTAATGAGTACATAACATGTTTAAATAATTTTTTTTTTTCCTGCATTTTGACATTATTATTGACCTCTCTTCTGGTTCAGAAGTTTTTATTTGTCATAAAGCAGAGGATACAGCATTTGCAAAAATCATTAGATACAAGTGTGTGTTTGCACAATTGTGTACTCGTATAAACTGAATGAGAACATGTGGAAAAGGGGTAGGAAAAGGAAAGGAGTAGAGGAGGGATCATGAAGGATGGTAAGTCAAAGAAATCAAACGGTATAAAATCAGAGCTGAAGCAGGGACTCCTCAAAACCTGGAGAGAGAAAATGAGCTAACCTAGTTTGCCATAGCTTGTTGAATGCAGGAATTCTATCTTGGAAGATAGCATTTATTTTACCATGGATCTTGGCTTGTGTGACCCTATTTTTAGTTTCTGTGAGGCATAGCTTAGGGATTTTCCAGGCCCTTAGCAGCAGTGGTAACCTGCAGGAGAAGTTTGAATTGCAGCTTCATGAGCTTGAAGGCATTTTTGTTAAGAAGAGCAACTGTGGTCTCAGGGGTAAGTGGTTACTAAAAATTATAGAAAGCATCCCAAATACTTACATCTGTTTCAGAGGAAGAAAGTTTGTCTATGGATATCCGCTACTGGATAAAAGTAAAATAATGGATGGTGAATAAAGGGAAATAGTGGCATTGCTGAGAGAGAAGACGAAATGTTTTTAACTGATCCTATATTGAGAGGGTTTAAGCCATAAAATAATATCTTTGGAGAGAGAGTTGCAGTCTGCAGCTTCATGACCAACCCAGATTGGGATTTCACAGGTAGCGGGATACTTAGTAATTGGGCTAATTGTGTGCATATGGTAATAATTTAGAAAAATGAGGGAGGCCTAGACCTCTTTTCATATACTGTAAGTTGCTGTAATGACATGTTACTGCACTGTACTTAATAGTTACTGATTTTTTCCATAGTCATAATAAAATTAATGTTTTAATTGATGCTTTACTACAAAAATCCCTAAACAATGGCAAATTTATAATAATATTCTTTCTAGTTATGGGCACTTCTGCACTTTATCATGCCTACACTGTTTGACTCTCATGAGGAATTCAATGAGTGGTTCTCTAAGGATATTGAAAGCCATGCAGAGAACAGGTCTGCCATTGATGAAAGTAAGTGGTTTTTCCTTTTAAAACGCCTATTTATAAAATGTGTAAAGGCTTACTCATTTGGGTAATGCAAACAGTAGTGCAAAGAGCAGTAATCCAAAGCAGCTAAATGGGAATAATAATGGAAACTCAGATTAGCTGTTATGGGTATTGCACTTTACACATCATCCTGACTCTTGTACATATTGAATCAAAGTTAAAAATATACTTATTTTTGCATTAGTAAATTAGTATACTAAATGGGCCTCCCCTACACACTAATGTTGGCAATAGTTACATAGTTGAAAAGAAGACACAAATCCACTTAGTTCAACAGAAAGAAACAAACTGAAAACCTCTACATACACAATCCTATACCCACAGTTGATCAAGATGAAGGCCAAAAAAACCACCAATAAAACATGATCCAGTTTGCTCCAGAAGAAGGAATAAAATTCCTTCCTGATCCCCACAAGGTAATGAGATTTTCACTGGATCAACTACCCCTGACGTTATTACCTGTATTATCCAGGTATATTTTTTTACATTTAGGAATGTATTCAGCTCTTTTTAAAATATCTACTGAGCTGGCCAGGACCAGCTCTTGAGTTGGTCTATTCTAAATTTGCTCTGCTCTTACTGTAAAGAAGTCTTTTCGTATGTGGTTGAATGTCTTTTCCTCCAGGTGTAAAGAATGCCCACTTATCTTCTGTAATACCCTGAAAGTGAATAATTACACCAAATTCACTGTTTTGATCACTTGTGTATTTATACAAGGAGAGCATACTCCCCCACCCCCTACCAATTTCCTCATTTTGAGTGAATAAATTCACTCTCTTTCATACTCTTTCCCCCAACTGAGCTCCTCAATGCCTCTTACCAGTTTGGTTGCCCTTCTCTACATTTTCTCCAGTTCCCCAATATGGTTTTTGTGAACTTGTGCCTAAAACTGAACTGCATATTCCAAAAGAGGTGTTACTAATGATTTGTACAGTTATAAAATTGTATCTCTCTCTGGAGTCTATACCTCTTTTATTACAAGAAAGGATTTTGCTCACTTTATAAACTGCAGGGTGGCATTGCATACTGTTATTAAGTCTATGATCTACCAGAAGACTCAGATCCTTCTCCACCAATGACTTTCCCAGCTGTTCTCTTCCTAGAAATGTATGCTACATGCATTTTTTAGCCCCCAAGTGCATAACTTTACATTAATTAACATTAAATCTCATTTGTCACATGCTTTAGTTGCTCAATTATACAGTGCATTGAGGTCAGCTTATAAGTTGTAGACATCCTGTAAAGACATTATTCTGCTGCATCGCTTGGTGTCATCTGCAAAGACAAAACTGGTGCTTTTAATCTCAATTTTCTTTTTATCAGTTATAAATAGGGTAAAAACAAAAACCCATCCAATGTTTGACACTTTCCACAATATGTAGTACTCTGTGCCAGTCTATGTTTATTTAAATGCTTACAGCTATCCAGGCTTCTGCGGAGGAGCAAGCACACACAAAGTACTGTCATGTGCACTCTAGGTCCAATCAATTAATGCCCCTTAGCTGCTTCTAAGCATTAAATATATTAGTGTATGGGGGAGGTGCATACATTTGTAATAACTTGACCTTCAAGTGTAACAGATAAAGATAAATCAATTGGTTATGATTAGAATTGCATCATGTATACTTGCATACACACATCTATGTACCTGTACATACTCATATCCATATATATATTAAACGACTACCTTTATTATATGTTTGGTTATGGTAGCGTTATTAATATGCTTGTTTTTTAAAAGTGTGTTTAATGGTTGTTTATTAAAGTGTGTTTAAACTCTAACAATGTTATCAGGCCTTTCCTGAGTCCTCAGTTCTGAGTTCCTGTAGTCTCAACACATTTCCTGTCTTTAGAGCGCCAATGCTGTTCCTTCATAAATACAGTGCATGGAGTGAAAATGGTAACCTTAGGGTAGGAGTTGTGCTACTGAGTAAAGATTGTAGGACATAAACTACAAAAAGGTGGTCAAAAGAAAACTAATGCAGCTACCACAAGCCTGGACCGCCTTGCTTCTACCAGGAGCAGGGCACAACTGAATTTTTTGAGACAATTTTATGTTAGTTTTTCATGACAGGTATTTTCTTAACACATGTGCTAATAGTGCTGCATTACAGCTCTAAACAGGTCTTCTGCTTTTGATTTATATTTTATTCTATTCCTCTATATTTTGATAGCAGTTTTTGCATTATTTTTGAAAACCTATTTAATAATGAAAAGGATAAATTAAAATGACTTTTCATTGTGGCAAAATCAGGGTAAATTTGAAGATGGCTTATTGATTGGGTAGAACTGAAGACCCTCTGTAGGAAGCATCTTTAAATAAAAATGAATGGAATAATATACTCACCGGCCACTTTACAGTATTAGATATACCTTACTAGTACCGGGTTGGACTCCCTTTTGCCTTCAGAACTGCTTTAACCTCCCTAGCGGTATGATTATGTCCATATTTCTGTGCTCAAAGCGGTACATTTTTTTTTGCACGGAAATATATATATATTTTTTTATTGTAGGCCTGTAATTTTTAGGAATAACTCACTGAAATCTGTCCGAACAAGACTCTAGTAAACATCCCGGGTAGGATAAAACTTGAAACACGAAATCATAAATTATAATTTAATAAATAATCATAAAAAAAAAAATATAATAATAATACATTTAATTCAATAATATAATCAGACCAAAAACACTGAAATTTGAAATATAGTGCCAAGTTCACACATCACTGAGCAAGGTCTGATGACGAATTTCCACACGAATCATTATCACTCAAGTGGTTCTCATTTACTATCGCTGTTCTCTAGCTGGTCTAAAACCGCTTTTGACCTAAAGGGACACTTTTTGGACACCATGCACGTTTCTCATTTTCCAGGCAGAAACAACAGTAAAAATGCAGGCAGGGCACAGGACAAAGCACTAGGGACAAAATGTATGTGAAATGGTTTGATACAGTAATGTTTTACTATGTGATTTTAGTGAATGTCACTTTTTGTCATTTTCGAATTTTCCCGCCGTTCCATCCCCCGTACGTCCCGACGCTCGCAGGGGACGGAACCCAGATGACGGCATCCGCCAGATTACATTGCCAGGGACACTGCAGGAGGTACATCGTGGGAGCGCAGGACAAGTGATCGAGGGATCCCGGAGCAGCGCCGCATGGTAAGCCCGAGTGTAGCTCGGGGTTACCGCTTGTGGTACTGAAACTTTACCCCGAGCTACAATCAGGAATACCGTCAGGGAGGTTAAAGCGGTAGTAAACTGGCGTAAAGGGAATTAAAGTCCCCTGCACGGTAATGTCATAATGTGCTAGTATACAGTGCATACTAGCACATTATGTAAAACTTACCTTAAAACGAAGCCCTCCAGTGTCGCACTGTCACCGCGCTGTAGAGGCTTCCATCTTCACCCAACTTCCATCTGAGTTCACAAGCTCCGGCTGTCTGACAAACTGGACTGTGATGACTTCACTCCCGTGCATGTGCATGGGAGTCCCAGGCCATGGCACACAGCTCTGAAGGAACAGCAAGGATATGCCGTTCCTTCAGAGCGCATGCACCGGCTTAAAAAAAAGAGAGAATATCTCCTAAACGGTGCTCTTTAGGAGATATTCATTTTTACCTACAGGTAAGCTTTATTATGAGTTTACCTGTAGGTAAAATAAAAAAAAAAAAAGGAATTTACTACCACTTTAATACTTCATGGCATAGATTCAACAAGGTGTTGAAAACATTCCTCAGAGATTTTGGTCCATATTGACATGATAGCATCACGCTGTTGCTGCAGATTTGTCGGCTGCCCATCCATGATGCAAGTCTCCTGTTCCACCACATCCTAAAGGTGCTCTACTGGATTGAGAACTGGTGACTGTGGAGGCTATTGGAGTACAGTGAACTCATTGTCATGTTCAGGAAACCAGTTTGAGATGATTTGAGCTTTGTGACATGGTGCATTATCCTGCTGTAGTATCCATCAGCAGATGGGTACACTGTAGTCATAAAGGGATGGACATGCTCAGCAACAATACTCAGGTGGTAGGCCGTGGCATTTAAACAATGCTCAATTGGTACTAAGGGGCCCAAAGTGTGCCAAGAAAATATCCTCTAACACCGTTACAGCACCAGCCTGAACCGTTGATACAAAGCAGGATGGATCCATGCTTTCATGTTATTTATGCCAAATTCTGGCCTTGCCACCTGAGTATCGCAGCTGAAATTGAGATTCATCAGACCAGGCAACATTTTTCCAATCTTCTATTGTCCAATTTTGGTGAGTCTGCGCAAATTATGGCGTTTGTTTCCTGTTCTTAGCTGACAGCAGTGGCCCCTGGTGTGGTCTTCTGCTGCTGTAGCCTATCTGCTTCAAGGTTCGACATGTCGTGCATTCAGAGATGGTATTTTGCATACCTTGGTTGTAATGCGCGGTTATTTGAGTTACTGTTGCCTTTCTATCATCTCAAACCACCCTGCCCACTCTCCTCTGAAATAAACAAGGCATTTTCGTCAACAAAAATGCCGCTCAATGGATATTTTCTCCTTTTCAGACCATTCTCTGTAAACCCTAGAGATGGTTGTGCATGAAAATCCCAGTAGATCAGCAGTTTTTTAAATACTCAGACCAGCCCGTCTGGCACCAACAACCGTGCCACATTCAAAGTCATTGAAATACTCTTTCTTCCTTATTTTGATGCTCGGTTTGAACATCAGCAAGTCATCTTCACTATGCCTAGATGCCTAAATGCATTGAGTTGCTGCCATGTGATTGGCTGATTAGCAGTTTGTGTTACCAAGCAATTGAACAGGTGTACCTAATAAAGAGACCGATGTGTGTATATCTTGACTTTAGACCTGTACAGTTAGAATTGAAAGAAACATATTTTTATAAATATGTTCTTTGCCAATTGGATAAATGTGAAATATATATAATACATTTATTTCATATTAACCTCTTAGCAAGGACTAGCTTTC